TTCAGTGTTCATGTTTCAACAATAGGAAAGTGAATGAACAAAAATGGCATCCAGGGAGAGTTCTGAGGCGACAACCACTGCTGACCAAAAACAACGACAACAACAACACCACAGGCTCATCTCACTTTGTCCTTGAAACATATTTATGACTTTTGGGAAAATATTATTGTTGCGAAATCGATCAATGTAGAGCAGTGTCACAAACCACGGAGGCCCCAGAAAAGTGCAATCAAACGGTGAGTTTATTAACAGCCAGGAGAAAACATCAGCATACGTCTTCTGACAAAAATACATATGGAGAACACTTTTAAAGCAGTGGGGTATACACCCCCCCATGGCGTCAATTACAGATTAAAATAGGTTAAAGACGTTAGTCACAGTTAATGGTACATCTTGTACATCTTTAATGGCTATAAACAGACATAGAACTTCTCTTTTCTATAACACCTTCCATACAAGGCAATAAACTTCAAGCCCTCAGGGTCTCTGGCTAATTATTGACTCTGGTCATCTGTTGCCAAGTAGAGTAAAATACAGTGAGACACCAAATGAGTTAAGGCCTCAGGATTATATGTGTAGATTATATGTGTTATATGTATTGTAAGCATGCATGCAGTCAACCTATGTTCTCATCTTCCCTCAGCATGTATCACCTGGACAGTCACGCCAGTGAAGCTTAAGACCCTTAATGGACGGAACATCAACTCTGAATAAGCACAAATGCAATGTGTATAAAATACTTCTGGCTGTACCTGTAATAAAAGTTAACATAATAGAAGGATCCTCAACTAAACATCCTCAATAAACAACTTTAATGCAATATCAATACTGTGAGAAATATTATTAAATGGAATAATGCTGTAAAGAATGTTATTAATGCAATTATAATGATGCAAGTTATATAACAGCAATAAAAGAATTTCTGGATCTCCACATTATGTAGACTGACGAGACAAAAATGGAACTTTCTGGAAGGTCTGAGTCTAGTTACATCTGTTGTAACATTAACAGAATTCATGAAAAGAATCGTACCAATAGTCAAACATGGTAGTGGTAAAGTGATGGTCCAGGGCTGCTTCAGGGCTTGGATGACTTGCTGTAATTGGTGGAACAATGTCCAATGCTAAGGCATATTTGAGGATAATGATCCAGAATACATCCAAGTCAAACTCTGACTGGCTCAAAGAAAGCAGTCTGAACTTATTTCCAATTGAGATGCTTTTGAAAGACTTTAAACTTGCCATGCATCGTTTGAAAACCCTCTACTGTGGCCAAATCAAAACAATTCTGCAAAGAAGGGTGGTTTAAATTTCTACACAGTGATGCGAAAGACTCTTTGCCAGTTACCACAAATGCTTGATTGCAGTTCATGCTGCTGAGGAAGGCATAACCAGTAATTAGATTTAAGGGGCAATTCGTTTTCTTTACATAGCACCAGGTAAAACTGTAATTTGTATTTTTTTTTTATCTAATATTAAAATTATTTTAATGATTGGAAATATGTAACTGTGAAAAAATATGCTAAAGAAAGGAAGGAAACAAATACTTCATAGTATTGCATGCTTCTACACCATGTCTAAAATACATTCTCACCCTATCTTTTACCTAAGATGTAATTTGATTGGTGAGTTTGAATAGAACCAGGATCACACTCATCTGTCTCGATTAGTTTCAATAGAGGAGGTCTGAAAGTAATGGTACTGTCATACACAACAAGATATGGTGGCATCACTAATGTACGTACGTCCACCCCTCTCCCTGTTATTATCCCACTGCAGAATGAGAAGAACGGCGAGATGACGACTAACGTGTTCATGAATCTGGTACGAGCATGAAAACATTCATCTTCATTACTGAGCCTTGCTCTGACTCCTCTCTCCTGTGCTCCTTCGCTCTGCCCTCAAACGGACTTGTCACTTTTCATAACTACAAATTATTTCATGTTTTATCTCTCTTATTCTCTGACTCACTGTCTCAGTTCGCTCCCTCGCCCTCGCTGATTAGATTTCAGGATGGCTGCTCTGTTTGTGACAGTATGTGTGCTTGATTGTGAATGTTTATGTCAGTGGGATTAAATGACTTGCCAAAGGCTGGAGAATCAAAGATGGGAATGACAGGGACATCACCTGTTGTCTGTTCGGCTGTTTACTCTTTTTCTTTTTCGTGATTCACGTTGCCTTTCTCCTTTTGTTCATCCCTGCAGGAATGGAGAGACTACAGGCTGTCCTGGAACCCAGCTGAATATGACGACATTAATGTTCTGAGAATTCCTCCCAACAAGGTGTGGCGACCTGACATCTACCTTATAAACAAGTGAGTGTCCTGACTGCGCTCACACTTACAACATCTTGCATGACTAACAGAGTGCCTGCCCTAAAGACGAGGTTGGTCCACCACATTTGGCTGAGTTAGACCATCTCCAAACCACATGTCACATCAGGTCTCACTACCATCTTGTAAACTTTCCTTTTGACTTTTGATACTCTTTACATTTTCATCTTTCCACCTGCCACTCTCTCATTCACACACACGTATTCTGTTTGCTACTACTGACTTTCATTCCTTTTCTCTCCAGAGCATACCTCCACCTGTCCAGGCTCCACAGAGTCCACAGAGACCCCTGCCTGCTTTCCTTTGGCTTTGCCACCTCTCTTTTTTATATTATTAGCCTCCAGTACTCTGTGCACTTTATTCATCTTCCTGACTGTCCCACTGTTTCTTCACTAACCTTTGAGTGTTTTCTTGCACTTCCTCTTTCCACCACCAAGTCTCTTTGTCCTGTGTCGTCTGCCCAGAAGATACCCGAAACACCAGTAACTTTTCCCCACCACCCAGAGCTTGTCTCAACTCACTTCTACTTGTTCTTGGTGTCCAAAGTCATTCTACAGACTACCATCTGATGCTGCCTAACTACATTGTCCCCATGAAAACCTTTGAGGGTTAGACTTTTCAAAGAGCCACAGGTTAGAGTGTGAATAATTATTGGTACACCTCAGCGCTTCAGTGTATATGCCAAAAGAAAAACCAGCTATGGAGAACATACGGGTCTTCTATGTTTTCAGTGTAAAATATGTACTAATCTGGACATTTTGTAAGTAATTTTTTCAAGAACTTTTCACATTTGTTTCACCCAACTTAGAATATCTCAAGTACCGAGTAGTACTGCCAATTCATGTTTCTTCCTGGATGATTTATAATAAGTTCAATGATCCCCTGACTTCCTGTCAAGAT